TGACACAACCTCCTCGATCCCCTACGCCCGGCTTCGTCCCTACACTCCCCCGAAACTGCCTTACTCAAACTCTCCAACGCCTGTAAGCCGCCAAAGCTAATGGCCACTATTCAGTGCTCCTACTCCTTGACCCTATCTGCGGCCTTCCACACAGTCGTACCACACCCCTCCTCCTCAAAAAACTACACTCCCCTCGGTCCTCAGAGATTCCTCCTCTCCTGGCTCTCCCATCCTACCTGTCACAACGCTCCTTACCATTACCTATAATGCTACCACACCTCCCCTCACTCCCCCTCTCTGTTGGGGTCCCTCAAGGCTCCGTCCTCGGGCCCCTTCTCTTCTCCATCTACACCTCCTCCCTTGGCCAACTCATACACTCTCAGGGCTTCAACTACCACCTCTATGCCGACGACACACAAATCTATCTCTCAACCCCCCACCTCACCCCCCTCAGTCTCAGCCCGAATCACACACCTGCTGAGCGACATATCTGATGGATGTCGCTACAACTTCCTTAAACTGAACCTCTCCAAAACGAGTTTCTTGTCTCCCCCCCCAGCCCGGACACCACCCCCCATTGACTTCTCCATCACATCCAAACAACGCCACCATCAAACCCGCCCGCAGGCCAGAGTATGTTATTTGTGTCATTCTGGACTTCAACTATCCTTCCATCCCCAAAGTCCAATCTTTAACAAGCTCATGCAGACTCCACCTCCGCAACATCGCCAAAATCCGCACGTTCCTAACCTCAGAAATCAATTCTAAACAGCTCATCCACTCCCTCATCATATCACGACTCGACTACTGCAACTCCCTCCTCAATGGCCTGCCTCGCCGCTGGCTATCCCCTCTTCAGTCCATCCTGAACACGGCTGCCAGACTCATTCACCTTTCCATACCGCTCTGTCTCCGCCACCCCCCTCTGCCAATCCCTCCACTGGCTTCCGATTGCGCAACGGATCAAATTCAAAATCCTAACACTGATGTACAAAGCCTCGTCCACCATACTGCCCGAACTACATCACCGACCTAATATCACAAGTACCACCCAACACGCACACTCTACGCTTCTCACAAGACCTCCTTCTCTCTAGTTCCCTGGTCTCCTCCTCCCATGCCCGCCTCCAGGACTTCTCCAGGGTGTCACCCATCCTCTGGAACTCCCTGCCCCAACCATCAGATTATCACCTACTCTCCTCTCCTTTAGGCGCACCCTGAAACCCATCTCTTCAGGGAAGCCTACCCCACCCCCTGCTAACCTGCCGACCTCCTCCACTCTTCCTACCACTCATCCCCCACAGATATCTCCTTCTGTGCCACCACCCCCTCCCTCCTAGATTGTAAGCTCGAAAGAGCAGGGCCCTCGATCCCCTCATGTTTTGCATTGTATTGGTATTGTTCTGTCACATGTTCTGTCCCCCTCTGTAATGTACAGCGCTGAGCGAACTGTTGGCGCTTTATAAATACTGTATAATAATAATAATAATAATTGTAACTAGATGGAAGATGACAAGGACTGAAAATAAATACATTTTAACCACTTCCAGTCCGGACGCTTTCCCCCCCTTCCAGTCCGGACGCTTTCCCCCTTTCCAGTCCGGACACTTTCACCCCCTTCCATGTCAGGACCCTTCCCAGGACCGGACTTTCACCCCCTTCCAGTCCGGGACACTTTCACCCCCTTCCGGTCCGGACACTTTCACCCCCTTCCAGTCCGGACACTTTCCCCCCCTTCCAGTCCGGGCACTTTCACCCCCTTCCAGTCTGGACACTTTCCCCCCCTTCCAGTCCGGACACTTTCCCCCCCTTCCAGTCCAGACACTTTCACCCCCTTCCTGTCCGGACACTTTCACCCCCTTCCTGTCCAGGCCAATTTTCAGCTTTCAGCGCTATCACACTTCGAATGACAATTGCGCGCGGTCATGCAACACTGTACCCATATGAATTTTTGTAGCATTTTTTGAGACAGATATATATTTATTTTGGTGGTATTTATTCACCACTGGGATTTTTTTTTTTTTTGCTATGTAAATAAAAGTCCAAAAATTTTGAAAAAAAAGTGTTTTTCTTATAAAATATAGCAAATAAATAATATTTCATCATAAATCTTGGCCAAAATTTATTCCATTATCTTTTTATATAACCCAAATTAGTTTATAAACCAAAAATTATAATTTTTAAAACATTTTTGTTTACATTTTTATTCTATTGTTTTATATTATTATTTATGTTCTTTGTTTTTTTTGTACATACTGTCACCCTAGCAGTACAGTGTCACCATGGTGACACTGCACTACTTGTGGGGGGTGATGAAGATTTTTTTTTTTTACACTGATTGCTTTTACATCCATATAGGCTGTAAAAGCAATCACTTCTCCTTCTCTCTGGCTGCATTCTTGCAGCCATTGAGAAATACTGTGAGAGCTGTGATTGGTCATAGCTTGTCACATGGTACAAGACTGTTATGAATGGCCTTGTACCATGTGACCTCTGTGATCATTCACAGATTTCACACGTAGTAAGCAATGATGTCAGAGAAGTGACATCTTGCTTACTACTCTGTATGTGATCACTGATTGGCCAATCAGTGATCACATGATCGGGACTCGCAGAGAGGAGTCCGGTACGACGATCACTGTTGCACTGTGTCGGAGGACACAGCAGGCACCGGATCATGGTGCTGCACGCTCCCGGGGAGCGTGCACAGGCAGGGGGCGGGAGGCCATATATAAATGGCCACCTGACCCTGCACTACCACCGTCCATCCGTTTATATACAACGGCCTGACGGGAAGTGGTTAATGTGGATACACACTATATTGCCAAAAGTATTGGGCCGGCCCTCCAAATCATGTGATTCCGGTGTTCCAATCCCCTCCATGGACACAGGTGTATACAATCAAGCCCCTAGGCATGCAGACTGCTTCTACAAACATTGGTGAAAGAATGGGTCGCTCTCAGGAGCTCAGTGAATTCCAGTGTGGCCCAGTGGGAGGGACGAAACGTGTTGGATGGAGCTTCCGGTGACATCACCTCCCTGTCTGTGGAACATTACACGAGTAACGGCGATCCAACACCATTTTTTGCTCGCCTGGCAGGTTACATCACTACTAAGATTTTAGCATAATTGTAAATGCAATACTTGAGATCCATCCATTCAGTCGTATCTGACCCTTGGCGATTGCATGGACCGTCACTGTAAGCGACTTTTTCCAAGAATTCTATTAGCAATTATTTTTACAGGGTAGGTCGCCAGGTCTTTCCCCAACCCCACCACCATGCAGGAGATCCCACGTGGCCAGGGATGAAACTAGGACAATTTAGACAGGAGTCAATTAACCTACTAGCATGTCTTTGGAGTTGTGCGAGGAAAAACCGGAGCACCCGGAGGAAACCCACACAAGCAGAACATACAAAAACTCCATGCAGTAGGCGCCATGGTCAGGAATCAAACCCATGACCCATTTACTGCACGGCAGACGTGTGCTAACACCACTAAGCCACTATGCCGCCCATACTTGAGATATCATTCCCATAATAAAAACAGCACTACACTATGGGGGCATTAGACATGTGCAAAAAAAAAAAAAAAATGTTTTGTTTCAATTCGAAAATCTTTACAAATTTTGCGCAGTTGGATTCAGCAAATTCATTCCATTCATTTGCAGGATTCGTTTTTGGTAATTTGTATTCGAATTCAATTTGAAAAGATTTCCACAAAAATTGGAAAAGTCATTCTACATTTCAAAATGGTTCAATTCAATCCGAATCTGAAATTGATTCAACAAAATTCAAAAAGTCATTCGAGAATCGAAAAGATTTCAATTGAATTTGAAAAAAATTCAACCGAATTAAGCTGGCCACACACATGTAGATTTTCGCCCCAGAAAAATATTAGTTTCAAGTAATATTCATTTGATTTTCTAATTATTACACCCCGGTCCAGGGGCGGACTGACAAACTCATGGGGCCCCGGGCATATAGGGGATCATGGGGCCCCTGTGTCCTTGCCCAAACTCCAAAAGCCTATGAAAAAGGTACCAGGGGAATCTCATGGGGCCCCCTACTGACCCCGGGCCCTCGGGAAGTGCCCGAGTTTTCCAAATGGTCATGTCCACCCCTGCCCCGGGTCACATAATCGAACCTGGACTATGAGATCGTGCAACTTCACTGTAGGTCGGACGATTTCAAAGTGGGGATGTCATTGCGCGATTTGAGGTGCGATTTGCAAGACATCTGACACACATCTATGCATATTGCACCAAAAGTAGTACTTTAGAAATCGATATGACCGATATGACTGCTGTAATTGCGGACCAACAGGGTGCGACTTGGCATGCAATTTGCAAGTTGCCGAGTTGCACCCGGTGTGTGACTGTGGTCTTAGTGGGGGTCAAAATTGATGTTTGTTTTCGACAGCAGTGACAAAAAAATTCGAAAGAGGCAGGAAGGAAAACTTTTCTCCATCAAAAGAAATGTCTCGGGTCGGGCCGGTGCATGTGGCTCTCATTCAGAAATTACATTCATCATTGGGTGTCAGTGGGAGGAATAGTGCCCCATCATTGGTGTCAGAGGGAGGAATAGTGTCCCATCATTGGTGTCAGTGGGAGGAATAGTGCCCCATCATTGGTGTCAGAGGGAGGAATAGTGCCCCATCGTTGGTGTCAGTGGGAGGAATAGTGCCCCATCATTTGTGTCAGTGGGAGGAATAGTGCCCCATCATTTGTGTCAGTGGGAGGAATAGTGCCCCATCATTGGTATCAGTGGGAGGAATAGTGCCCCATCATTGGTATCAGTGGGAGGAATAGTGCCCCATCATTGGTGTCAGTGGGAGGAATTAGTGCCCCATCATTGGTGTCAGTGGGAGGAATAGTGCCCCATCATTGGTATCAGTGGGAGGAATAGTGTCCCATCATTTGTGTCAGTGGGAGGAATAGTGCCCCATCATTGGTGTCAGTGGGAGGAATAGTGCCCCATCATTGGTTCAGTGGGAGGAATAGTGCCCCATCATTGGTGTCTAGTGGGAGGAATAGTACTCCATCATTGGTGTCAGTGGGAGGAATAGTGCCCCCATTGTTCATGTCAGTGTGAGAAATAGAGCTCCATCATTGGTGTCAGTGGGAGGAATAGTGCCCCATTGTTCATGTCAGTGTGAGAAATAGAGCTCCATCATTTTGTGTCAGTGGAAGGAATAGTGCCCCATTGTTCATGTCAGTGTGAGAAATAGAGCTCCATCATTTGTGTCAGTAGGAGGAATAGTGCCCCATTGTTCATGTCAGTGGTAGGAATTATGTCTCAAGGGCCAAACAAAGGCAATCAGAGGGCCACTTCCAGGCCTCAGGGCCACAGTTTGGAGACCACTGCTCTATACTTTCTCTGTTGCAGATGATATCAATAAACTGGCTTCATTGAAGATTCTGTCTGGTCTGATTGTTATTCTACTTCAATTCTTTCTGTTTATTTATACTTTTGAGTGTTTTATGTTTTCAAGCAAGGAATTTGTATTTGTGATACATTTGAAGCGAGATATGTTTGTGATTTATATTGTAACAGAAAACAAAATGTATCCTGTTTAACAGCTGATGATGTTTTTCTTATATAGGTATAAGAATGATCCCTTGGTGGAGTAGATTGGGGATTAGTCAGAGCTATGGGGGTGTTTGTATCCTAGACCTGTGGTGGGCAACCTTTTTTTTCAACTGAGCCAAATCTCGCCAAAACCACGATTGAAATTTATTTTGAGAGCCACATTTTTAAAACTGAAAATACACAGGATGGTACACTGTTTTTAGTTTCAATAAGTTTTTATAGTAATTCATCCCCCATAGTAATTCATCCCCCATAGTAATTCATCCCCCATATAGTAATTCATCCCCCATATAGTAATTCATCCCCCATAGTAATTCATCCCCCATATATAGTAATTCATCCCCCATATAGTAATTCATCCCCCATATAGTAATTCATCCCCCCTATAGTAATTAATCCCCCATATAGTAATTCATCCCCCATATAGTAATTCATCCCCCATATAGTAATTCATCCCTCATAGTAATTCATCCCCCATATAGTAATTAATCCCCCATATAGTAATTCATCTCCCATATAGTAATTCATCCCCCATAGTAATTCATCCCCCATAGTAATTCATCCCCCATAGTAATTCATCCCCCATATAGTAATTAATCCCCCATATAGTAATTCATCCCCCATAGTAATTCATCCCTCATATAGTAATTCATCCCCCATATAGTAATTCATCCCCATAGTAATTCATCCCCCATATAGTAATTAATCCCCCATATAGTAATTCATCCCCCATAGTAATTCATCCCTCATAGTAATTCATCCCCCCTATAGTAATTCATCCCCCATAGTAATTCATTCCCCCTATAGTAATTCATCCCCCATAGTAATTCATCCCCCATAGTAATTAATCCCCCATATAGTAATTCATCCCCCATAGTAATTCATCCCCCATATAGTAATTCATCCCCCATAGTAATTCATCCCCCATAGTAATTCATCCCCCATATAGTAATTCATCCCCCTTAGTAATTCATCCCCCCTATATTAATTCATCCCCCATAGTAATTCATCCCCCCTATAGTAATTCATCCCCCATAGTAATTCATCCCCCATATAGTAATTCATCCCCCATAGTAATTCATCCCCCATATAGTAATTCATCCCCCATATAGTAATTCATCCCCCATAGTAATTCATCCCCCATATAGTAATTCATCCCCCATAGTAATTCATCCCCCATATAGTAATTCATCCCCCCATATAGTAATTCATCCCCCATATAGTAATTCATCCCCCCATAGTAATTCATCCCCCATAGTAATTAATCCCCCCCATATAGTAATTCATCCCCCATAGTAATTCATCCCCCATATAGTAATTCATCCCCCATATAGTAATTCATCCCCCATAGTAATTCATCCCCCATAATAGTAA